TTTCTTTACTTAACCTTTACGCAAAATTTTTATCGTTTAAACAACCTAGTTTGATCTTACTCGAAATGTTCCTATATTATCATATTTCAGATATTCATATTTTGTGTACTCTATATCTATACTTCTGAGGGTCTTTAGTATGCTTCTGTACTATTGTTATGAATTTTAGATTTGTTTATTCAGACACGTAATTTAGGATTTGTGACGACAAGATTCAGACATTTACCCTTTACGAAAGTATACAGAATTTTCACAATTTTCTCATATAGCGTTACTTGCTTGTTCTAGATCTGATGGTAGTATCTTTGCTTAGATTTCTGTTGCAATCTTGGTTATTCAGGGTAGCAAGAGCATAAAAGCTCATGTAATCTTGAAACTGTTTTTTATTTAAATTATACTGAAGGTTGTTTTTAATTTGTAAGTTATATTGGTTTTTGAATAAACAAATTTGAAAAAAACAAAAAAGTACTTATGACGCACTGATATACAACAGACACGGTCTGTCAAACCGACATAAATGAGAAACGCGGAGCGACAGGAAACTTGTGAACCGCAGTTCGAATATTATCGCGAGCTTAATACTTCCATCGTCTAGGTAGTTGTAGATTTCGAAAATTGATTCAGATGTGGTGGAAATAAAATCGTTGGTGTTACTATGTTTCAGGTATTCCCGCTCATTTTCAGGCATTGTTTGGAAGAGAAGAAAATTGTAGATTGGAAGCTGTATGCGGTAAATGGTTGTAAGTTGTTGCATATTTGGTATCAATGAAGGACCTACACTATTAAGAACCTGCTAATATCAGTGATACCGTGCACCTTTTAGACACAATAAGTCACATACACATATTTTCCCTATATCTCCCAATCTCCCATGGAAACAGAAATATGATATATTTGATTTAGATAGTTTGATATGCAGAGGTCGACGATTTATCGTACCTAAGTGAACCTACCTAATCACGATTCGATTTCTCTTTTTGAAACGATTTGATTAATCCCTTTTCTTTGGAACCTTCAACGAAGACGTAGGATGTATAGAATCAATCTACTTGACGCCATTTTTATAGTGAGACTATAGATCAAGATTATTGGGAAAAATTACAGAACAAAAGATCTGTTCTTCATTGTTGAACATGTGATGGTTTAATCTCATGATTTTGGATTTTTTTTAGGATTTCACAAAATTGGGCGTAATTCAAAAACCATCCTTTTTTATACTAGGAAATGTGTGGCTTAGGGTGGATTTCTCAATTTAACAAACCATTATTCTGCACCAATAGGGTACGAGCACCAAACAGTCCGTTAAATATACCCAATCTGCCTCAAGATCTCTCGGTCAAATTTTTGGCAGCAAATAGCATCAAAGTATTTAAAACAAAACACTGTAAAATATGAAGTGACAGCTTGCCATTGAAATCTTTTCAGTTTATTAAATATTATGAAATTATGTAAAACTGAGCCAAAATTTTTAAAAATGCTTGATGTCTGAGTAAAATCTATTTTTTCAGATTAGCTGAAGGTTTTTCCATGTTTACTGCAACTTTTGTAATCCATATGTGATTATATCACCTACTGTGTGCTTATAGTTTATCCTATATTTGCAAACTTGCACTTCCAAACCCTTACATGAAAAAGCCTTTTCAATCAAATTTTTGTTAGGTGTTGCATTTCAACACATTCAAACACGTCTTTCCAGTTCCTCAACGATATTTTAACCCCACTGGTCCGAAACTGTTCAACAGTTTCAACATTCATACATACAATAGCAGTTGCAGTTTTTTGTTTTAATTTCAGTGTATGCTCAGTCGCACCATCGGTGATGGTACATTCAACATATCCACGTATTTAGGAGTTCGTGCAGATTTAACGTGTACACGACGTCATCATTAGGCGCTCCTCCTGCGATGTCCGATTTCGTTCAGGTGCGTTCTGCAACGCGGCTCTCGTTTTTTTGCTCTAGGCATGGCCATCCTCAATTAATCGCACAAAAAACAAGTCCAAGGCAGAAAAACACACCCGAAGACGAACAACAAAACAAATCTCTACCGCAAATTCGTCAACAACTCAAACAAAAACAATAGATGATTCACCGCCTGGCTTTGACTGTAAATCGTCGTGGAACACGAGACACCGCAGAATTATTATAATTACGCCAATACGAGAATAGAACAGTATAGAAAGGGCTATCCAAGGGTAAGACGAGTTCAGAAACCACCCGAATCATGTGAAAAAATGGCTGTGACGTCACCAAAGCGTTTGACCACCACTGGAAATCACTAGCTATAGTTACCATTTGGCGGCGTAACATGAGGAGGACACTGGTGTAGAAACAGCTGATCCTTAAATTCGGTTACGTCAAGTCGTGCATGAGCCCGACATTATTTTTCAGTAAATACTATTAATTTTAGGTCTATGTCTACAGTAATTGCATTATGCACCTCGGAGATGTAGGGATTAACATGTTTTACACATATCGGTGTTTCAGGATGGGTACAACCATACTGTTTTGATTGCTTTGAAGAAATTCTTTAACCCATGAATTTATAACAAATGATTACTATTATGATGTAAAGAGGGTTGAGGAATTGGTTGGAATACATTTTATATTCTATTTTCCTGCAAATCCGCACAATTCAACAGGTATGTGTAGCTATAATGATCTCATAATATGAACACAGTATATTTAACTTAACAAATTTCGAAATTGCCATGAATTAACTAACGACCAAATCTGCTGCCAAATTTAGCAGCTAGAAAATCGACCTATTATTTCTCCCATTCCCATTCGCTGAGGCGATAACGGATTGTTAAATGTAAACCTATAACATAAATCAAAATACATGAAAGTTGTCCTATTTTCTCTGTACAAAAGCATCATGTTTTCACGATTTTATTCAACATTTTAATAGAAATCACTGATATTCTGAGACCTTTGACAGCTTCCGTCAAGTTGCATTTCGATAAGGTATTTTCCTATTGGTCCATAATAATAATGTTGGTGAAATCGGCCCTTAATGTGTGTACTGCCAGCCTTTAAGTGTTTTAGAACATCCTGTATTTCGGAATATTTGAAAACTATTGAAAAGTAAGTACGTTGCTTATGGCTCCTCAAGTAGCTATTCTTCTTGAATGTGCTGCTGCCTGTTACGTTTATTGATTTCAGTTTTATAACAGCCGACTAGATGTTTCAAATAAAAACGTCATGCTCGTGATATAAAATTGTATATTTTGTGTTACATAGTCTTAGTAGTAAAAATAATCCTATACATACACCGTTTGAGTTGACCATTACGAGTTTCATGGTTACCGATATTATAACTTGAAGCGTGTAGCATAGTCTTTCTAGTCAGAAGGTGAGACGGCGTTAGAACGATAAAGATTTAAGCAACAAATCCGCCTTAGGCCCGGTTTTTCAATCGCAGGTTAACTACGACCTTGGTCTTAACTTATAGTTATTTATGAAAAAGCGTTTTTCAATATCATGTTTATAGTAAAACGGAAGTTAACTTTAACCAGAAGACCATCTATGAGTTAACTAGAGAGGCTGTAGTTAAATAGCAATACCTGGCGTTTTTTGACGTAAACTTTGAGGTTTATTCAAAAAATCACAACAAATCTATATCAATCTATCGATTAATTTAATCTATACACATGTTTATGGATTTCGACGTGAATGCGTATAGCAGTGACGAAGACGCGAGAAGGCCAAAAATAATCGGCCGAATTAATTTGATGAATTTAATGACCTCGATTTCCTTGCAAGATTTCGTCTTACAAAAAGAACTGTAGAAACTCTCCTGGACGAAGTCTATGAAGATTTAGTATATCCTGCAAGCAGGTAGATGTATTTATTATTGTTTATTTCCATATTTTTCCATGACTTTGTCATTCCAGGAATAACTGCTTAACGCCCCAACAGCAGCTGTTGTTAGCACTGCACAATGGAAGTTTTTTAACTGTTGCTGGAAATTTTGCTGGGGTTTCCAAATCAACTGCATCCAAAAGTCCGAAGATTCTTAAAAGTACTAACGAGTAAAAGAAGTAATCACATAAAAATGCTGGACACTCTTGAGGCTCTTGCCAGGGCAAAGCAATCCTTTTATAAATGATATAGCTAGGTTTCCTCAATGCATAGGTGCATCTGACTGCACGCATATAAAAATTGTTTCTCCCGGAGGAAGCCATGCAGAGCTCTTCAGAAATCGAACTGTTTCTGACGCAGATTCAGACATTTTCGGAAATTCTCAGCTCTGCAGACAATTTGAATCAGGTCACTTTGGAAACTCTTTGTTGGCTGGTGACAAAGGTTATCCTATTAAATGCTATTTGATGACACCATTAAATACAACTACAACTCCTGCTGAAGAATTATACAATGAATCTATCATTCGTAGTCGCAATATTTTAGAGAGAAGCTATGGAGTTTGAAAAAGAAGATTTCCATGTCTAGCTATGGGTCTCAGAGTTCATCTAGATACAGCTCAATCAGTTACTCTAGGAACAGCAGTGCTACATAATATTGCTTGTCCTAATAATGAAGCTATGTCCTTATTAGTCCTGAACAGGAAAATGCTATTAACATGGTTCATGTAGATAATATGAAGACAGATCCTGTAAATATTATGTTGCCACAAAATGCAATCAACAATGTTAGAACTTACCATATTAATAATTATTTTGCAAATTTGTAAATCGATTCAATACATTCACTGATGCTCAGTTGTTTAGTATAAGATCTGTGATAATCCATGGCAAGTGGATAAGAGTTGTGGCCAAAATTGTTGGTGCCCAAAAAAGGCGCACACGGCATTTGAAAATAGATGTCCCAAGCCTCAAAATGGGCACTCAGTCGATCTTTTTAAACACCTAAAGTTTTCGCCATAGCTCTCATCTACTTGACATGAATTATCCCCTATTTATTGTAACTACAGAATGAAAATAAACATGATTTTCTGAAAACAGTTTATTATCCTCAAAAATGCGAAATACAAAAAAAATGAGTGCAAGTGAAAATCCAGAAATTAACAAAACAAATCCTTTGTTTTCTACTTATCGAATGCATTGATCTGTAAATCTAACAGCTGAACCTTTTTTTTGATATATTGCCATTTTTTTATCGTGTTCTTCGATGAATTTTTCTTTCTGTAGTTTCAAAAAATTCAGCTTTTCTTCCATTAGTAGATAGTTAACAGAAATATATTTTTTATTTTGTACCGTTTTCGTACATGATAGCTTTGTAGTTTTGGGCCTCTTCAGTTGTTGGGGAGTATAGGAGCTCCATTTCCCATTATTGAAGACCACTTCACTGTCATCACAGTTATTTGCATAAGGAACTAAAAAATGAATAATTAAAAAAATGTTTCAATCAACAGCAATGAGACTTACCATGTTCAGAAACCACCTCATCTTAGTCACTACACTCATCATCATAATTGTTTGTCAAACCTAATAGTGGTCCCATTATATCTTGTATTTGTGTATCAATCAGATCGAATGCTTGCAATTGGCATGAACCTCCCGCTGTCTTGATTATATTGGTTTTGTTTGTAGCAAATTTGCTTTTTGTTTTTTTCTTTAAATTGAAATATTTATCTCGTAGAGTTTTTGTCTCTCGGTGGCACCCTGTTAGGGCTTGGAATTCTTGTTCGATGCTATGCCATACTGAACCTTTCTGTTTCCACGTAACTGTGCCACTTGTTTTGCTCTCTATTACATCTTTACTTTTGCTCACCAATGATATTAGCATCATTTCCTCATTCTTCGAGACATTTTGAGCCCTCTTTTTGATCTCTTTCTCAGTTTTTGAGAAATTTTAGCAACAAGAATAGAGGTATTGTGTATCCCCTTCTTTATTTTTGGATTGTAGATTATAGGAGTGATATTAAAAAAGGTGGAAAATACGATATTCATCAGATATTTACAACTTAATCGTTTTTGGACCTTAGTATGGTTCATTAGACATTGCATTTCCAAACTTTTTTATCACCATTTATATAATGCCGTCTATAGGGTCTACTATTAAACATTTGTACGAGCAATGTTTGAAAAAAATTACCATACTTGACGAAGGTTTTATGTTTTATTCGTATTTAATGAAATTTCCGGATTTCGATTTTGGCTGTTTTAAGAAATTTAATTCGATCGAACTGTCATGTATGACGTATGACACAGGACACAGATGCCGAGCGCACAACACACATAGAACACGATATCTAAGAACCGCAGATACAGGGCTGTAACATAAATATCTGTTGAACTTCTGGTAAGTTAACTGACGCTGTCAAAATACTTGAAAAACGCATTTGCAAGTAACTATAAGTTAACTTCCTGGCGATAGTTAACTAACCAAAAAGTTAACTTGCGATTGAAAAACCGGGCCTTAAAATGTGTTTTTCAATTTAAGGTTTGTCCTAAAATAGTAGTTAACATTATCCAGAGCCGCTTTCCAGTGCTTTTGAATTGAGAGAGTTTTATGCACCAGGAAATGCTAGATTTGGCAGGTCATTATCCTGCCGATTTAATATCAATTGGATAATAATGTTATAAGCCCAAAGTATCGCCTTTGTTCATAGCATATGCGTACAAATATGGATTATAAAATAAACGATCAGTTTGTTCGATAGCATTAGAAGCAACATCCTGTCGCCGACGTGTCTCAGATGTCATTATTCGAGTAAGTCGAGTGGAAAAATGCACCATTTTTCCTGCTGTGAACGTTTAGGAAGTACGCTGACTTGTTTTTCGACCATAATAACTGTTTTCTCAAATCGCTAACAGCTATAATTAACGTAAATATGCAGTTTCACGGACGCTTAATAAGCTGTAAGGTACGCAGTGTGTGAAGTAGCCATAGAAAACTTATTAGCTAAGGGTTATAGTGCGGTCGTAGTAGCTTATAAAATCCCAGCATGAATTAGCTTAAAGGTTATTCTAGGTGAATTGCAGCTAAAAAGCATCGTAGGGGGATTTTTTCTGAAGTAGCTAAGGATTTTGTTTGATTTATTTCACGACACCGAGTATACCAAGAATATTTACAAACACCAGTCTGGAGAGAGGCACAAATTAGTAAGTAGATTTTTACTTATACTTTTTCTCACGTCTTATGTTATATCTTGGAAATTAACGCCTCTAAAGCGAAATCGGTAGCAGCTTTCCTACTCATTACCTTTTCCCTGACCCCTACAAAATTTTTCCGAAAATCATCAAGAGGATCTCAGACGTCAAAAAACGAAATTTGAGCGATTTTTTTTGGTTTTTGGCATTTTCATCCGCCGCCACTGGACCGACTTTCAAAAATTACAAAGCTTTTTCGCCCTTGACACAGTAGTAACCTTCTGTGAAAATATCATTCAAATCCGAGACGGGCCTAGGATTAGCGGACAGACCGACAGATAAACAGACCAACCGATAAACTACCTGATTTGAATATAAAATTACTTGAAACGTTAATGCTTGACTTGATTTTCTTATTGTTCTTCTTGAGTTGAGGTCAGGCATTTTCCAAAGACTTGATACTTGATGGCAAACTATATTTTTTTGATCTTGATATTTCTTTGTATAACCGATGAGCCGTATTTTGAATATTAATGCAAATAATCACGTAGAAATCAAAAATTGTCACTGCCATCTCAAATGTTGCATGCATACATCGTTGTCAAACCAAAAAAGTAGTAGTACCTTAGACGCGTGACATAGGCGCCATATAGGTCGATAGATATCCTAAACCGCATCCGCTGAGAAATCTGCACATCGTCGGCAAATAATGCATAATCAGCAAAGATTTGTTATTCGCCGCCGGTGGGTATTCTATCGGTTTATAAAAACTGGATGGGTCGATACGTGGGATTATTCCTGCCTTGGGATCACTCGGGGCAAGTCTTTCTTCGTGGGGCTGGACTTTCTTGGGCCAAAAAGTAAATAGCTGTTTCTGTTTGTTATACTTTTTTTGAACGGCGTTTTGTTAATGTAGTTTGATATTTTTTTGTGTTATCATTTCAGCCTCCACACCAGAGCAAACTTGCCCCCCCACGCCTCAGTCGTAACAATATAAAGATAAAATCCCTAGGAAGAAAAATCAGGGACGGCGTAAGATCAGCGGCGGATCAAAGGCTTTTGGGCCACGCAACGCCATCTATGAAAAGTATATTTTCATAATTTTTCTAGAAATATAAAAACATATTCAAATTAAACTTCATTAAAAACAGTTCACAGTTTTATCGTTCTATTATTTGTTATACGATGTGCAAATTATTTTGCTCAATATGTATTGCTTCCTCTGAAACTTGTGACCTAAATAAAGTCTTTCCATTGTGCATTTATAGGCTAATCATATTTATATTACAAAAATTATCATGTTATACAAGACTACTTCATTTTTCAAATACTTGACAGACATGCGTAAAAGCTGCTTGACTTAATATGAGATTGCTAATATCTAATACATGACTTGAGCAACGGCGGATTCAGGATTTGTGTCTGGGGAGTCAGAGTGGTCAAAAAACTTCATGTTCAGGATGGCAGATGACAATCCTACCCTTGTACCCTTAGGGTACAGCCTAAAAGTGATTAAAACATTAAATCTAATTTATAAATGAACAATTTATTGTTAAATAACAAAATTAATTTTTTTTTGTCTTCCTGCGAATCGATTAATATCCAGTCCAACAACTTTTTTGTGGTTTTGTCCATCACAGTGGCGGATTTAAGTAATGTCAAATTGGACGTTGCCGCCTGGGCCCCCCAAGGAAGGATGGTGTCAGGACCCCCCAGCAAAAATCAGCTCTAGTGTCTATATTGTTCAGCGCGTCAGAATGTAAAATTAATAACAAGAAATCAGAGTATTGTTATATTCTTTTAATGACCATCTGCGTAATGTTTATGTAACAGAGCGTTAGCATTCAGTTTGAGTAAGAAAATTTCCCTTTCATTTCTTAAGAAATTTTTTGAAAAATGACTATTTCATTTCTAAAAAAATCTCCGAATGACCGTTTTATTTCTCAAGGAGTGGAGGGGTTTCATTTTGTGTTTACAGTGATATATTATTACCTGGCATAAAATGTTCAGTAAATAAATATCTTCGAGGTATGAATACTGTGCATTTTTTTATTTGATGACATATATATTTTCTTCATGATAATATCGTGGAAGAAATTTTTTGAATGTATTATCGATTACAGAAGATGAAGAGTAGGAGCTTCTGGCAAAGATATATTGAATGCAAAATCTCTCTTTTCCTCCATGAAGTGGACCTTTTTCCTCAACTTGTTATGGTGGCATTCAGTATTGAGCGTAATAAATACTGTGCAAGTTCAAATGCAAAAGAAAGAAATAGACTTGATGATGGCTCAAAGGTGCATTTCAGCAGCATTAAAAAAATTAAAAGATTTGAGGAGCGAAAGCACATACGATAATTTTGTTCTGAAGGCTAAGAATAAATGGGAAGAGATGGAATTGGAAAATCCTGGGTGTCAGAAAGAGGAAAATCAAAAAAATGTTCTACGAAAAAGCTGCTGACTCGCCACTGGAAATACACGAAAAACATCGAATAAATTACTACGAAGTTTTGGATGGAAAAATATACGGAATTTTTCACTACAGATCTAAAATATGAATTAGTCAGTTTTACGAGCATGTATTTTTCAGAAAACCGTACTTTTACTAATGACAGCCCGCTAGATTATTTGAAGTTCATGATTGCAAACAATTTTATAGACAGTTTTCCAGAGAGCTGCAGTATTCAGATTGTTTTTGACTTTACCTATTGGTTCAGCTAGTGTTGAACGTGTCATGAGCTCTTTGAAAATTATTAAAGAATACCTTCGAGCTTCTTTGGCTGAAGACACACTCAACAACTTCTCTATCCTCTATATCGAAAGATCAGTTTTTGCTGAACGAAAAGCAAGACGCGGATTCAAATTAGAATAATTCTGTTATTTTGTAATGAATAAAAAATGTTTTATCTCACAGTCTCTACTTGATTCAGGTTATATAGACATATAGTAAAAAAAAACAGAAGTAACAGTGCGCAGCAGCTACTATTATGCATATAATTGTAAGTCACTGTTAATATGGGACATCCTTATTGCCAGCAAAATCTGAATGATTTAGAAAATTTAGATGGATTTTACGTTATCGAAAATTTTTAGATCCGCGTGAATATTGAAACAGTTGAATTAGCTGTTTTATTGGCACGTTGAAGCAGCATCAGATTAACTTTTTGCATCAAATTACTATTAAAAAACCTTTTGCACTATCCATGAGCTTGTTTCGGTTACTTGTGCAGGTCTTTCTAATTTTTTTTTCTCAGTTGCCGTCATTAATTTGCAAATAGCGT